CGTTAGCACTTTTAACATTTCGATTTTGCCTTTAAATTGGAATGCCTCTTGTAACATGTTGTTAATTGAGAAAACATTATTATCATTATTGCCTAAAACGCTTATAATAGTACATAAGCTAACAGATTGAAAGGAGAAGCAGATCACCTGCATAGTTGAGAGACAGCAACGAACATAAATACCATCATTATTGATAGTATTGCACCACTACTGAATGTCTATCATTGTAAAACTCAGGTATTTTCAAACAACTTTGCAGTGTGTATACCATAGAGTTACCTTTCCCTCTAGTGCATTCAACTCCTCGATACAAATACTGGACACTTCGATCACTAAGAAAATCTATACTGGTTCTTTTAAAGAAGCATTATTTGGGTAAATGGACGAGACTCGATCAAGTAGGAACTGGATAGCCCAAATAAACTAGCGGAACTTCCAGACCACATATTTTAATCAATAAACAACCGGAGGAAGATTGCCAAATAGCTTGAAGAAAGCCGTGATTAGTCCGGTAATCAAAAACGGGTGCGATAAATAAACCTTATAACTGTCAACTCACAAGCCTAGTTAAAGTGGTTTTGTATGTCAATGATCTTCGATTCTCTTATCTTCGTCAGTCTTTCATATACTGACGATGAGTTATTTATTTGCTTTTCATTTGTTTAAACACATTACCACTGATATAAAGAACCACTTCAATATATCTTCCCTACTCAGTTTATGAGATTAACGAAGGGGTTGGGATCCTACTAGAACCGAGGCAGGTGATTTTCTTAGACGGCCACACCAAATAACTATGACCCATTTGTAGAATCTATTTTGAAGGCTTCGTTTTCGGAAAATCCCTCCATGTATATATATTTGTATTATGATCTGACTGACTCTTCTGTTCGTCACCCGCACTACATTCTAAATGCTTGTATCTTGTTTGAAAATCCTTACTATTTCTCCATAACTGTTTGAGATTTTATCATTTGTATCTTGTTATTATTTCTATATCTTGTGCTTATATCTAAGTTTTCATGTTTCCTTCTGAACTATATATGTGTTGTTTAAATTTGATACTTAATATGGCTACAGCCATATTTGGATTTGATACTCTAGCAGTAACGGACTCGAAGCACTTATTCTTCCAGCAACGGAACCTATTGTGGTAATTGGAAACTCGAAGGTGTAATACTGTTTTGAAACGTTCTCTCCCCGAGTTATCGTTTTTTTGGACTTGGACTGGGCGGGACGCGTATGAACCTATACTATTGGAGTTAAAGGCGGACTGCAAGAGTAATTTATAATTTAACAACCAGGCCATCAGCACTGATGAGACTCCCCAGATAACTAAAGCGGTCGACACGTTCAACTGCTTTACACCCTATCATTAGTTCAGATGCCGATACAAGCCAATCCTGAATCGACATTTTGCATTTCGAGGGTGAGAACCGCATCCCGAACGTGTTTGCATTGTTGCTAAGGGTAGTCAGGAGACACTACATTTTATCACCATCTTCACCATGTAGAACCAAGTCATCTGCATATTCTAAGGCAACCAGTGAATCTCCTGGCTAAAAGTCCACTCCTGGAAATCCAACGAAGACAATGTTACATATAGAATCTGGTCTAGGACAAAATTAAACAAGGTTTGAGAAAGTGGGTAGCCCTGACGCACATCATTTGAAGTAACTAATTTCGATGACAGATCCCCCCAAGCTCTCACTGGACCTGTAGTGTTAGAAAAGAGAGATTTTATAAGGTTAATGTACTTCCTCGGTACACCTTTTATTGAGAGACACTGCCATAGAATCCCATCATCGACAGGGTCGAATGCTGCCATAAAGTCGAGAAATACTACTATAGTGGGGCGTGAGAACGAGTGTCAATATTCAAGGACCTGAAGTAATGTGAATATCTGCTTTATACATCCACGTCCAGGCCGAAAACCAGCCTGGGATTGAGACCAGTCGGATGGGATTACGTCCAATTCCCAAATTCTACCTAAGATCTCAGTCAATCTAGCTGCTAAAACTGGACCACCATTCTTATAAATCTCAGGGGTCAATCTATCAGGACCCGCTGCTCTCCACTACTTCAGAATTTCCATCTCTTTCTTAACTTCATAAAGAGTTGGGAACTTACGTTGATTTGCTATTCAGGATGACTGGAGATAGTGGGCAACCGGAGTGTACCAGAACGCCAATTAAACTGATCCCTTAAGTGTTCTGCCCACCGATCCAATCTCCTGGATTGAGAATAAATAATAAGACTATCTTTTTCCGAAATTACAATAACAATTTATTCTCAAATAACGTCACAAGAAGCATGCCAATTTACAAGCGAGATCAAAATGTTAAGATTGCTAACATATTTTTAGTGAAACGTTGATAAGTTATTGAAATATTTCACAAGATTTACTGGCTTCATATGGATGAAAGATGTGAGGACCTCACATACCAGGGGAATATCGTTGACATAGGTGATGATATGGCGTGGACATCAGGGGATGAATTAGGAAGTCTACAGAAGCAGTTCTAGGACTGAAGAGTATATGGAGCTATAAAAAACGACTAATGCAGACCGAAGTCACGAATTTCGTAAGTGGCCTGACAAATGGAGTGCTAAAAGTACGAAACAAGTGTCTTCCGTGATCATTTGAAATTCATAGCAAAAAAGTTGTGCTAAAGTCTTAACTGCATGAACAAGTTAATGAAGACGATGATGATAAATTCCCATATTGCTGCTGATAAAACACCGCTCGTGAGTGCCCGAAAATCAGTGGGATTCAGAAACGAGGTATCCTAATATCGAAGTTTATCATTGGATGATACCTCCCATGACTTTCAATTAGTAACAGTACTGGATTCCGTTGATGAGGCTGTGGTAGCCGATTTCGACGTGTTCTTAAGCTTCACGATTAGCTCGTTCAGACAATCGTTAATAAAAAGCGTCTGACGGTTTATAAATCAGAAGGTGAACTCGAAGTGTTGAATGCGTTTATTTTCGGCACACCACAAATAGAACAGCAGACTACAAGTGCTAAAAGATAAAATCATCATGCGAGCGCCAGAAAGCAAGCAACCGAGTTAATAGGCAAATGAATGGATGAATCGATGTGGAGAAGGCTAGTGAGCCAACTCTCAGAGATAAAGCATGACTAAGAATTCATTGTGAGACAGAAATAAGACAGACCTGTAGTAAGCGAAATAGACATACACACACATTATTAAAAGCGACGAATGGTTGACTAGGTCAAAGAGCAAGTGTGAAAACTCACGCGAGCTCATACAAACCAGACAAAAGTAAGAACAATTGATACATTTAAATTGTTGCCATACAAATGGCTTGGTTAAACAAATTAATCGAAAGGGCTTAACCAAATTAAATGTGAGCGAACCCGAATATATGTGGTGGCACTACAAATCAACGATTGGTCGTTTTGATGAAGGATGCTAGTTCGAGGAGGCTGGTGTAGAAACCTGTTCACAGTGTGAAACAAACGTAGTTAAAATGTGATTTAGAACGTCTTCTACTGTATTTCACACCTGATTCGCCTGACTGTAGATAAAACGCTGCCTTTCGAGTAATGATCTGCTTTGGTACTGTTTTTAGTTAAAAACATTTGGTTTCAGTTGAAATCTGTTTTCCTGTCAACTATTTGCGCTGCACATAGATATACGGCTGTAATCTAAGGCTGCTACTTATTGATGTCCACATCAAAAGCTTCAAGAGCCCACTTGACTAACGTGGTTCTGACAAACATTTGGTGGAGAACGAAAAGCTGCACTTGACGAGTCTCATCTTTTACTAGAGGTTCCTATTATGTTCGGCTTATGTTGCAAATAGCTAAATGTCTCTGTTAGTCCCTTTCTAGTATGCCTCTGTAAGCACTTAGTTCAACGCAATGGAGAACTTGTTAGCCAAATGCGTTCTTGAAACTCTCATGCCATGAAATCAGAGAAGGCCCTTATCAGTTTGAAAGTGATGCTTATTATTTGATTCCCAAGGGAAGTGGAACGCCATTTATCTTCGTTCAATAAGAATATATCCGATTAACAAAGAAATATAAGAAATATAATACCGACAAATCAGGAAAGCAGAAAGTCTGAATTCTGATCTTACAGTTTACATTCTGATGGCAGATTGTTATTGAATTATTATTCTTCCACCTTTGTTTGTTACAACCTACTGCTCCACTGTTCGGGTTTCAGTATAAGACTGTCTAGCCTACTGTCTTGTCATCAGTTACCGTGCATTGCTTTCCTTGTCCAACTTAAACGAATTCCATAAATAAACTGGGTATTCCGTTCACCTCTTTGTTTGTTCTTTTCTCTACCAGATTCAGTTGCGTACGTGCAAAGTGGTCTTTCGAGCAAACCGTTAAGAGCGTCTTTAACCGTTTTGCCGGTAGAACGTTACATTCACTCTTCGACAGATTTATTTGTCCACATTAGGAGTATTGTTTCACTTCGAAGGAATGCTAATACGACTGAGCGTACCTAAAAACCTACCTCTGAAGTCTTAAATAAAAACCTTATGAAGAGTGGCTACATTTACAGGATCTTTGCTAATCAGAATACTGGAATTACAGACCTAACCTTCTGACGACCTTTGGCACCCTAAACACTCATGGGCATTCCTTAAAATATTTACCTATGCTCAGCCCCAGAAAGTTGGGGAACAACAAAGAAGAATGAAATATCTAGAATTAATTCCGAAATTTTCTAGCGGCTGAGATAGTCCAAGTGAATTTCTCGGAACCTTTCTAAAACAAACTTGACATGAACTTGAGGACTGGAGACAGTGTTTAGTCATAATTTCACTCGTTGAAAATACCTGGGTTCCTACATAGAAACTTCAGTGATCCACTGCTACTAGATGGAAGTCCATCAACTAAAAGCTTCTTCTATTCTGTCCACAACCATCACAAGAATCGAGCACAGAGAAATCAGTTGGTTTATACTAACTAGTGAAGAAGATATTGGATATTGGATTTGGGCAATTCGAACTTGCCCGCGGTGATTGTACAATGCTCACGCAATTTAACCGCAAGGTCATTTCGACCACTTGACAGCCGTGTTAGGACCGTAAGAAAATTGTTTACTTCAGCTTCTCTTGTAATTGTCATATGGTTTATATAGATAATTATTTTAAATCAAATGAATTATACAACCAATTATATCCTCATATAGCTTATATATAAGTATTCTCTGATAAGAGGCTTTTCGATCTAACTTCTTACTCAATTAGTGTGGTCCTGAAAACGTTTTCTTTACAAAAAACGCAGTTACTCGGTTAGGAGAATCACTTTTACCCGCTATCTGCGGAGACAACAGTCATCTGTTCACTCAATATACGCGGAGCCTGATGCATGTGTCAACATCTTACCCACACTTGTTCATCCAATATACTTCATTCGGACTTGCCTTGTTATACTACAAGTAAGTTCAAAATGATTGGTCAGTCATTCAGTTACAACACAGAACTTCATACATGAATACATAAGTTCAGTTTGCCCTACAGTCAGTCAGATGCAACGTAGAACTTCGTACGTAAGTACATCAGTTCATGTTGCCGTACCACATCAGCACAGAGATAAAATTGTCAATTGAAATCCAATAGTAGAAGAGATAGTAAGGTATTAGAATTATTCGGATGGATCAGGATTCGAAGATATAATTCAAGAAGTATGTTTAAATGAGAAAAGTTTAGAAAGTCAAAACTGAGGTGTTGGAGAATCCAGAAGATTAGGATTTGAGAGAACACAGAGAATAAATGCACTGGCGCCATTGCAAACGGTTTTGAGCCACGTTATTCAGGGTATCTAACCATCGATTAATATCATCTCGCGGACCCCAACTAGGTAGTCGACAGTTACCGACATGGCTCAGTCCACTAGTCAATGACTTCATGGATTTCTGCCATGTTTTGGTTTGGCCGCCCCTAACTTTCTTCCAACCTATTCCTACACTACAAAACAAAGCTCGGCTAGGCAGTCGGTGGTTAGGCATACGCAACACATGTCCCAACCACCTCGAGTGATGAAGTTTCAACACTTCATCTATTCATCTGCCATTCTTACCTAATACCCGATTCCTAATAACAGCGTTGCTCACTCGGGTGTCCCACGATATACGAGCAATGCTTCAAAGACACCTATGATCGAAAACCAATAACCGACGAGTATCTTCTACTCTCACTGGCCATGTTTCACAGCCATAAAGGAAGACGGAGCGAACCACTGCACAGTAAACAACTGTTCTAAATATGCAATTATTATATTAATGTAACCAGGTCATCAGCGCTGATGAGACTCCCCAGATAAGTGAAGTGGTCTACACGTTCGACTTTTTCACTCCCTATCACTAGTTCAGGTGCCGATGCAACCCAATCTTGAACCAACATTTCGCATTTCGAGGGGGAAAACCGCATACCGAACATGCTTGCATTGTTGCTTAGGGTAGTCAGAAGACTCTGTATTTTGTCAGCGTCTTCACCAAGTAGGACTATGTCATCGGCACATTCTAAGTCAATAAGCGAGCCACCTGGTTAAAGGTCTACTCCTGAAAATTGAGACGAGGATAAGGTTATTTCTAAGAGAATGTTTATGATAAAATTAAACAAGAATGGAGAAAGTGGACATCCCTGACGGACACCGCTTGAAGTAGAGAATTCCGGTGACAGTTCGCCATAAGCTCTCACTCGACCAGTGGTGTTTAAGTAGAGAGCTTGTTTGAGGTTAATGTACTTCTTTGGTACACCTTTCAATGACAGACACTGCCACGGAACCTTACGATCCACAGAGTCAATCGCCGCTTTTAGGTCCAGGAAAACAACTATTGTAGGGCGCGTAAATGTGTGTCTGTGTTCTAGGACCTGTCGTAGTGTGAAAATGTGGTCTATACAGCCACGTCCAAGTCGAAAACCAGCCTGGTTTTCTCTAGTCTGCTCTGCACGAGCTTTCGTTAAGCGCCGAAGTATTATTGAGGCCAAAATTTTAGAAACTATATTAGTTAAACTGAATCCCCTGTGATTGTCACAAGAAGACTTGTGTCCTTTCTTATAGATTGGGACAATCAGTGATTGAGACCAGTCGGATGGGATTGCGTCCAGTTCCCAGATTCTACCTAAGATCTCAGTCAACCTAGCAGATAAAACTGGACCACCATCCTTAAATATCTCAGGGGTCAGTTTGTCAGGATCGGCAGTTCGTCCTCGCTTTAGATTTCCTAACGCTTTCTCAACTTCGTAAAGACTAGAGGGATTTACGTCGATTTGCCATTCAGGATGGCTGGAGATCGTGGGTAACCGTAGAGTGGCTCGAGGCCAGTTGAACTGATCCCTAAAGTGTTCTGTCCATTGATCCAATCTCCTGAATTTAGAATAAATAATAGTCCCATCATTTTCTGAGATAGTTTCACTTACACTAGGATTCCTAATACCAGTTTCCTTGATAAGTTGGAAAAGTTGTCTACTGTTGCCTACCGCCACTGCCTTTTCCATTGCTTTTGCTTTCGCCACCCACCACTGTTCACGGTCGTTGCGAAGGCTTGCTATCAACCTGCGCCATACAGCATTAGCACAAAGACGCAATTATCAGTTCAAATCCCATAGTGTTAGAGATAATGAAAAAAATGATTGGTTCGTATACTTGTTTTCTTTATGTTTTCTGTTCCAACAGTACTATTTTTTTAATTCTACATTTTTTTTTACTTGTTTCGCTTTTAGTTATGTAGTTTAAAGAGTGTTCCTAATTCACTAAATTCACAAACAATGTCCTCTCCGACTCAGTGTGAAAAGAATGTAGAAGATTGTAAAAAGGTGGATTTAACCGCAGTAAGTTTCTAATATATGAAACGAAAAAAAAACAAACTGATGTGTTCTTCTTCCACTAACACAGAAACTGCTACCTACCGTTGTTCGAGCTGTTAAACTATCTCAAGAATTTCCCGTGTCCGATACACCTGCTTATATTTATTACAATGATTTTCCTCAATATAAAGCTATCGCAAATGGACAATCGAAAAAGATACTTACAATGTAATTCGGATTGTTTTTCTCTTTTTTTTTTAATACGCTCATTTATTCTTCTTCTTCTTGCACACGTTTATTTATTTAGTTTACAGAATATTCTAGACATGTTAGACGCTAAAGCTAATATTCTAGATGTTCCAGTCATGAAAAATATGCATGAGAAATTCACTTCTATTGTTGATGCAAATGATCGGATACTGGAGAAATTGGTAGTTTGTTTTTCTTTTCAAATTAATCAAAGTGAACTAATCCATTTTATACATATATATAGGCATTAGCAATGGATTTTGAAGAAGATCCTCAGCGTAAAGAGTTTTTTTTGAAAACAAAATCTGAAGATTTGGTCGTTGCTGTTCATCGAAAAAATAAAACATCGCTGGAATGGTTAAAAACTAAAAATGTACGTCATAATGCATTTCATCATTTTTGTGGTGAAGAAAATTTGTAGCTCAGGTGGATAATTGTGGTGGTGTTAAGTTCTCTCTGAGTTGAGAGAACTTAACACCACCACAATCATTCTTGTATTATTATTATTATTACTATTATCATTACTACTATTATTATTACCATTGTTATCATCATTATTATTACATTATTTTGAAACCATGAATCGATCCATGCTAGACCACAATTAGAAACCTGGAAGTACTAGACGGCAGTTTCGTCCTGGTATGGGACTACTCATCAGCAGTGCGCATCCTTGATTCCTGCACCCCACAGGATTTGAACCCAGGAATTTCGGTATTGTGCTCGAACGCCTAACCTCTGGACCACTTAGCCGGTATCTAATGGTGTTAAGTCAGTCAGACAGTTGCAACGTAGAACTACGTACGTATGTAGATAAGTTCATGTTACCATACCACATTAGCACAGAGACGCAGATGTCAAATCAAATCCCACAGGGATAAAGATAGTAGAGGTATTAATGGTAATGAAAGAAGACTAGAGTTCGAAGATATTATTCAAGAAGTATAATTCAGTGAGATCAGGCTAGAAAGACAAAGGTAGAGGTGCTGACGAATCCATAAGGTTAGGATTTGAGAGAGCACAACGAATGGATGCACTTGCGCCATTGCAAACGATTTTGAGCCATATCGTTCAAGGTCTCTAACCATTGGTGACTATTGTCTCGCGGACCTATACCAGGTAGTCTACATCTATCAACATGACTCAGTCCACTTGTCGTCAGTGACTTCATGGATTTGTGCCATGTTTTGGTCTGGCCGCCCCTAACTTTCTTCCAATCTACACCTACACCACAAAACATAGCTTGACGAGGCAGTCGGTGGTTAGGCATACGTAACACATGTCCCAACCACCTCAACTGATGAAGTTTCAGCACTTCATCTATTGATCTGCCATCGTTACCTAGTACTCGTTTCCTAACGACAGCATTGCTTACTCGGTTGTCCCAGGATATACGAGCAATGCTTCTTAAACATCTATGATCGAATACTAGTAGCCTACGAACATCTACTCTTAACGGCCATGTAGGAGAACGCTGTTAATGTCTAACTTGATCAATTCACGGAGTTGCGCAACCTTAGACACAGTCTTCGGCAGTTACTGTCTACATCCAAACAGGTTGAACTTCATTGGTCACGTCTTCTCACTAGAACTCGGAGAAGATTTCTCACGGAGCTAGTCACTAGTGAGCATAGGTAATTTGCATTACGGGATTGTGAAGATTATTAAGTCACACATTTTGAAACCATGAATCGATCAATGTTAGACCACCATTAGAAACCTGGAAGCACTAGACGGCAGTTTCGTCCTAGTATGTGACTCATCAGCAGTGCGCATCGACGACTCCTGCACCTCGTAATGCATATTACATTATTGTCATTATTACTATTACTACTATTGTGGTGCGCGCTACTTATAAGTAGTATATGACGCGAATGAAAACGTAATGTCTGGCAGCAGAAGATGAGAGAAGATCAAGAAAGGAAGAAGAGTAGGAACACAATGGAATTTGTATGAAATGCATGAATAAGTGAAATGTCAGACAGTCGAGATGATGGTGGATTGAAGATTTGCAAAAATGACCGTTTACGATATGGTTTTCCTATTTTACTGAGTAACTCTGTAATTTTCGATAAATACAATTCGGTTGCCCTCACCTGTGTTCTCCTTCACTACACTATTACTATCATTATTATTATTATTATTACTATTATTACTATTATTATAGTCGAGTGAAGAAAATAATGAACGAGTTGTTGATTCTTCAGAAAATTCACTCAAACTATTATCTTCAAAACATATTGTCCGACCACAAACATCATTTTCCACTCCACCAGACAATTCATACGCACCATTTCGTCCAAGAATCAAATCAAAACCGAATTGTATTCAACCACTTCCTGGTAATTTGCTGTTATTTTCTAAATAAAACCAACAACAACAACAATTAATTTTTCCTAAGAATTACTCATTGACAATTATGACGAATTGATCGAGTAAGTGTTTGTGTGTGTGTTTATATAATTTTTTCTATTCATTCAAGTTATCCTCATCCATATAAAGCGGAATTAGAAGCATTTGCCAATAGTCTATCGAATTGGAATGAATTCATATCAGATGAGTTCCTGCCTGTGAAGAAATCTTTAGATTCATCCTATTTGTATGTTGATACATTGGATACACTTGAACAAACAATGAAATCACTTTCAGCATGTAAATATATTGCAGTTGATTTGGAAGTAAGTCTATTCTCATTCTCTTTATATCAGTGCACATAGTATTGGTATTCAGGCGGGGTTTTTTTAATCTGTTAGTATGTTTTACGTTTAGATTTCCAATACAGTTGGAGTAAAGTGCTCTAGCTCTTTTAATTATCTTGTTAGCTTCCTGTTTTTTTTGGTGTTAGTATGAAGTTTAGCAGTATAAACCGTTGACAATTACTTACTTACTTCCTTACGCCTATTACCCTTAATGGAGTATAGGTCGCCGACTAGCATTCTCCAATCTACTCTGTCCTGGTCTCTCCTTTCCCGTTCTACTCTATTGCTGTTCATTCTTTTAATGTCTGTCTCCAACTTTCAGAGCTGTGTGTTGCTTGGTCTACCTTTTTTCTTTTGGTCTTGAGTAATTCAAGTCAGGACTTGCCCCATGGTCCATTTAGGTGCTTTCCACAATGTGTGTCCTATCCACCTCCAGTGCTCTTCTTGACTCCTTCTTCAACTGCATTGTGGTTTGTTGGTGTCTGGCCAAACGGATGAGGAGTATCTTCTGTAGATAACTGTTGATAAACACATGTATCTTTTGGATGTTGGTTTTTGTAGTTCTTCAACTTTGCACTTCATACAGTAGAACTGTCTTGACATTTGTATTAAAAATTGTGACTTTGGTGTTGGTCGATAATTGTTTTAAGTTCCAGGTGTTGTTCAAATGTAAAAATGCTACCTTTGCTTTGTTCATCTGTGTCTTCACATCGGCATCAGATCCACCTTGTTTATCAATGATACTACCGAGATAGGTGTGTAAAGGTTTCCACATCTCCCAAAGCTCCTCTGTCAAGTTTGATTTGATTGGTACGTGCTGTTTTATATTGGAGAATTTTACTTTTTCCCTTATGTATGTTGAGATTTACTGCTGCTGCACTGAACCTCTTCTCCTGCATTTGTTGCTGAGTGTGGGATATAACATGTAGGTCATCTACAAAGTTCGAACCATCTAGCTGCATCCGAGCTCTCCACTGTATCCATTGCTTTCCCCAGATATTGACGTTTACATAATCCAGTCGGTCACCGGGGGAAAGAGAAAGGGTAAGAGGAGGTAATCTTGCTTGACACCGGTCTTCACTTCGAACTAGTCTGTGAGCTGCCCTCCATGCACGATTTTCCAGTTTAATCCATCATAAGAATTCCGTATGATGTTGATTATCTTCTCAGGTACACCATAGTGTCGTCCTATCTACAAGCCGTTGACATTAGTTAACTTATCTCTGTTTTATGCTCGAAGGTCATCATATTTAATGCTTTGCGCTGTCCTGTAGTTTTGTATAACAAATACTCTGAAATATCTTTCTCCATTTTAAGCTATTTCAACTGTTTTAACCGTACAAAGTTTCTGAGTTTACTGTTCACTTCACTTTAGTGTCGTGCTACAAACTTAAAATAGACTTTTAAGAGATATTATCTATCAGTTTAGTTAAGTTCGGAATTGCTGCCATCTCCTTTGACCATTGGTTTGAATGAACGAATTTACTTCTTACGAATTCTAAAGTAATAGGTTATACAGTATAACAGAGAAATATGGTAACCAGTTGGGTATCCTATAAATTATGATGCTACTAGTCAATCAGTCATTTACAACGTAGAATTCCGTGCGTACGTATATAAGTTCAGGTTACCATACCGTATTAGCACAGAGATTCAATTGTCAGTTCAAATCTCATATTGGTAGAGATAGTAGAAGTACTACCGGTAATGGGGAAGATTAGGATTCGAAGATATTATTCAGAAAGTATATTTCAGTGAACTAAACTTAAAAAAAAAGAAAGATAAAGGTGATGAGAATGATAATACTATTAGACTAGACTAGATACCAAGAAACATACTGGATCACTTTTTATCAAGATACATAATTCACGGCCAGATTACAGGCTAAACAAAAGTTTATTTGACACAAACACTAGCAGTCCAAATCTAGTGCAAATTCACAGGAAAATCAGAGCAAACATTAATGTTTTACATATAATAATAAACGGCTTAATAGTTAACATAGAGCAGCCTGTTTTTTCCTCTCAGTGACCGATCCCAGCTTATGATAACGCTATATGTCAGCTGACAAGAAAACACTGTTACTTAGGCCACTAAATCACAAGTATGCAAAAGCATCTCTTAATCTATGATCTCTCAAAAACTTGAACTTATGTTATTCAAATCAATGCCTAAAAGTATTGCCCTTAAAAACTGTATCTTTCATAGTTGACACTGAGAGAGGTGTTTTGTAAAATTATCTCTGTTAATTATTCTAAAGTGTTTTTTTTCAGCATAATTGCAATGCATATCAGTAATAATTAACCGTATTCGAGTAAGGGCAAAATAGAAAAAAATCAATTCAGCTTAATAAGTTGATTAGTTGTTTATAAATTATTTGGTGGATATTAATATGAATCACCGATAGTCACTTGTTTCTGTAAATATTCTGTTTACAGTTTTACTACTTTGTTTTATTAAGTAGTATAAAGTGTTATATGAAAAGATTAAGAGCTAAACAGATTAATCTGTCACTTATGTGACTCGAACTCTGGTCGACTGTATTCAAATATCCTTATAATTTACCGTTCTTGCATTTCGTTCTATCAATATAATGATCTTTTCACTGAAACAAATCTTTACCAGTGTAGGAGTAGGTTGGAAGAAAGTTAGGGGCGGCCAAACCAAAACGTGGCACAAATCCATGAAGTCACTGACAATTGGACTGAGTCATGTTGGTAGATGTGGGCTACCTGGTTAGGATCCGCGAGACGAAATTTATTTTCTAACCTTTGTGATCGCAATCCTTCCTTCAGTCGTGACCAAAACGTAGGATCTTCGTCGTAAATGTCATTTGTAACTACACTGTATTTCCAGACGACCTTGAGGTCCAAACCCGATTTGAACAATTAGAGGACAGCTAAGATAGATGAATGATTTGTAGTAAGTACTAGAACTTAAGTTTAGGATATGAATTTTATGATTCCTACATTATAACTGATATCGGTTAATCACAAATCAAAACGTAACCCTAAATTCTGATTCCATTTCTTAACCTTATTTTGATCTATATACTGTTACCTTGAAGCAGTTTCTCTCGTTTACCATTGGCTTAGCGGAATAGAACTACTTTCCCTTTCCCACGATAACGAGTTATGGTAAGCAAAGATACACTATGTCCCAGATAATACAGAATTCGGCGTTCTGGAATGTCAATAGGTGAGAAGCGTCGTTAGCCGAACTGTGTGTCAACCTACATTAGAAGTCTATTCTCTATGTACGTAAAGTAATACAGTATGAACTGGCGTGTTGTGTACTTGTAATGTCATATCTAGCCTGCACTGTAGATTGTATAAGTTGACAGAAATCGATTAAATTTTATTTTACCATGTCAAGATTTGATCAAACATCAATCGGACATAATTGATGGAGACTCTCTTGATCAGTTGTTTTGAGTATACCTTCATCTATTTCAGACTTGTATAGAAAAGTACGTTTTGAAACTTGTACACGTTAATAGTAATAACAATAATAATGTATTATTAATATCCCAACTGGTAAAAAATACAATTTATGACGCTTCTTTACATGTAGTGTGTATACAATATGTTCGAGTCCCACAGGGTTTGTCTCATCCTTTGGAAAAACTAACTAATTCATTCTTCTCGAGGTGTCTCGCTCATAATCTCCTTGGTTGTTTATATTTAAGTGCGTGTGTGTGCATGCTCACATGTCTAGCTTATTTTAGCTGACCATAACTACTTAGTCATGCTTCATTGTATTGACTAAGTTCACGCACCTTCTCCACTTCGCCCTTGCTTTGCTTTTACGTTTTATATTCTCATGTCTGTCTATGTGAACGATTGACCGAAATAAATTCGCTCGCAAAACCATATTATTACGACCGTCTCACAAAATGGGGTTTGATGAAGTAGAAAATACAGTAATTGAAGAGAAGATTTATCTTATCGCATACTCAATCATTCGTTCAAATAGGATTCAGAACTCAGGTCACTAAAAATTCGATGTAGACGGCTTCTATTGTTTAACATGGTATAAAAAGCTGCACACTCTTAAAAGAGTACCATTATTTTGATTTATTTTTTCATTAGGATATAAATGTTTATGTTTTATAGTTTATATGATTATTCTATTCATTCATTCACTCGTCATATCCTTTCTTTTTTTTTTTTATAGCATCATAGTTTTCGAAGTTTCTTAGGTATTACATGTTTAATACAAATGAGTACACTGGATATGGATTACATTATTGATGCATTAGCTCTACGTGATCATTTGTCCATATTGAATGAAGTATTTACTAATCCAAAAATTGTTAAGGTAAGAGTGTAAATAAAAAAGTACACTCATTCTTTTCTTTTTTCTCTTTACTACTTCAAAATATGTACATTTCATTATTTTTTTTTATATGAAATTGTTGAGTACAATTTTTTGCCTATCCTATTTACCGTTTATTATTATGTAACAGATTAATTCACTTAACCATTGATCTAATTAAAACAAAACTCATTGGATTCCATTATTGAATGCTCACCTCTCCGATTACTTCTAATAACTTTACTACCTCTTCTACTATTGGATTTGAATTGACAATTATATCTCTATGCTGATGTGGTATGGCGACATGAATTGATGTACTTACGTACGAAGTTCTACATTGCATCTGACTGACTGATTGAATGCTCACTAAATAAAACCATAGCATATTTAGAAGTTTTATCTCTGTTATGCTCGTCAATCGATATGTTTGAATCTATTACAAGTTTACCTTAGTCGGTAAACGAAAGAGAAGACAAATGATGGAGTGACACGATAGGCTACTTTAATCCAAGCGTCCCAAGGCTCCACTAAGTAGAGGAAGAAATCTTGACAAGACTTAGAAAGTGTATTCTACAAGCATATAAATTGAGTTCATTTATACCACAAAAATAGCGTACTAAAATAACACATCAACCAATGACAGTCAAGGATTTTCCGAGTGGTAAATGTAATCTCAAGGTTAACTGATCAGCTCCTGCGTGAAAACACAAAACGCAAAATTAGGACTTTTATCAAGTGAGTTCTAGGGATCTAACGTTCCCAACAATATCTGAACTCAGTATAGAAATTTATACTCGGTAAATATATTACATTATAACCTTCGTTTACATTTTTCCCTTTAAGTTTTATATATACATTAAAGTCTTACACAAACCTAAATTTGATTGTGCATAAATATTTTTTCATTGAAAACAAAACACTGTTCAGTTAATTTTCTCATGTTTGTAATCGAATTGATTTGAGATTACCATTGAATAAATAATTAACAGTTATAGTTGAATAGGGAATGATTTGTTGAGTTTAAAATGTAGTCAGTGAAAATTAATTAAACTTTCTATTTTAAACTGTACAGCTTTTTTTATCGCGCAAGAAGAACATAGATATAGTTTGTTGATTCAAAGAGAACAACCAATAGAGAGTGATTGCATCGTCGTAAGTCAGCTACAACGTAGAGCTTCGTACGTACATACGTACATCAGTTCATGTTGTCATACCACATTAGCACACATAGATCAAATTGTCAATTGAAATCCCATAGTAGTAGAGGTAGTAGAAGTATTAGCTGTTGTAATCAAAAAGATTAGGGATCGAAGATATCACTTGAGAAGTATATCCCAAAGGAATCAATTCCAAAAAAGGTCATGAGGAATCCAAAAGATTAGAATTTCAGAGAAGACAAAGAATCGATGGCTAGGTATATCTGCTTCTTAGTGTTGATCAGCTGTAAATCTTAATGATGACAACAGTGAAATACAAAGCCGTACAAATAGAATTCATACCTGTTACCCAAGGTAACTCATTAGACGTATGAATTGAAAGATATGGGGGTCCAGTCTCGTCATGAACATCAACAGTGAGATTCAGATACATCTAGCTGACAAATTCCAAATATAACTAAATGCATTTGTTGAATTCCAATGTTAGCTACTATTCAACTTAGTAAAAAAGGACAAACTTTTATAAAAACTTAATTTTTATTCCATGCAAAACTGTGTAAAAGTACAGTATAGGAACAAAATTACAAAGCGACCACGATGAGTTTTCATCTAGTTTCTAGTCAATCAGAAAACTACTTTTTTTAAAAAAAAAACAATAAATAGCTTACGCAAGAGGTGAAAACAAAAATATTGAAAAGTGTAAACAAATTTTTCATAGCCTACTTATTAACGCCCTCTACAGATTAATCTTCTTGTTAGTTCAAAAATCCACAACGTATAAAGTCATCCTTATGAATATAGATTATCCAAATACGAAAACCCTTCAGTTAAGTCAGTCATTCATTTACAACGTAGAACTTCGTACGTACCTACATCAGTTCAGGTAGTCATACCACATTAGCTTAAAGAGATGGACTTGTCAATTCAAATCCCATAGTAGTAGAGGTAGTAAAAGTAATAGCAGTAATCGAAAAGAACACGGTCCGAAAATATGATTTAACAGATGCATAATCCAGTGAAATAAATTTAAAAAAAAGGAAAGATAAGGGTGATGGAGTGTTCGGAGGATTAGGATTTGAGAGAAGCCAAAAGAATGAATGCACCTGTGCTTCTTTAAACAGTTTTGAGCCATATCATTCAAGGTCTCTAACTATCGAATACTATTGTCTCGCGGACCCCAACCAGGTAGTCTACACTTACCAACATGACTCGTACCACTTATCAGTCACTCCATGGATTTGTGCCGCTTTTTGGTTTGGCCACCTGTGGTCTCAAAACGTTAATAGAACGCAAACAGATTTTTCACAGTCCCTACATTGTATTATTCTTATACTCATCATAAATTGATATCAACTATAATGCCAAGTACTTTGTAGTCATATGAACAACTGTTGCGCAAATATCCAAAAGTTAGTTTATCAAGAAGGTAGAGTGACCAGTGAGTTAAGGTTTGTTTTCGAAATTAAGAGTTTAAGGTTGGGATTTAAAATTAAGCATTTTATCCGCTCAATGCTGTCATTGTTATTCTATTGTAGTAAAAAAAATAGTGTTCATTTCAAGCATTTTGATGATTATATAGAAACAATTTTAATACATGTAATATATAGCATTTGAATTCCGCTCAAAAACTTCCGTATCGTATTCTCAATTCTGATTGGCTCATTCTTAGATTATAATTTCATTCTCAACGATAAATGAATTGAATATGTAAGCATTCAAACTTTAAATAATGAATGAAATTTTTTAGGTTAATATTGTGATAGAACATGAACTTATTCCAATTATATAAGGGAGGGTGGTGAACAGGGGATTTTGACTTTATTGTTAGAAGTGCAAATGTCTGGAGGTTATGCACTTTTACCCATCACTGGTTGAGTTTATTCAAACCTCTAATCGAGTCATCTAATTAATATATCACACACAACTTTGCGGTTTATATCGGCCTTTTGTTGCGAATAGTTGAATATCTTCATTATTTCTTTGTTTCAATCAGTTTATACTTATGAGAATCTCAAGTTAAGGCTTAGGAATTTGATTTTCTTGTCTCATAGTGACATTTTAAAGTGGGGAAAAGTATAGAGTTGCAATATAACAGTAAGGACACACGATGTTTGAGCATATTCAATTAGTATATCATTTTAAATTGGACTGTCTGTCGACTGCAGATTCCATCTATCCATATTATGAATTTAATAATCTATGTCTCTCTAGGGATTTCGTGGTTCATTACCCTATCGTTATTGTAGATATCAGCTGCAATAGCTCGGTAGTTGAGGCATTCGAATTGTACCCACTAAGTTGTAGGTTCGAGTCCCTCTTGGCTTTGATTTGTGCAACTGGATACCTTCAACAAACACACTTAGAATGTAACTCAAAGACTCATACTACATGTGTCTCTGTATATATTTAGTTTCCAGTTTCAGTGTTTGTAACAAGAACTAATGAACTCGGTTATTCAAACTGAAATAGATTAGGCCATGTTCAAGTGACTAACTAACTAGTTGAAAATCGAGTGCTATAATTATTGAACTTATACTTGAAGATGCCTCCCAGACCATGCAGTCTCTCCATACCCCAATCATGTCTTTTGATATTCTCACTGAATCTCCACAAGTATTAACGCTACTACAGAATATGATCCGATCATTCCTACTTATGCAATTCATTGTGTAATGATTTGAAAATCTTTTTTATTCATTTTCCCACTATATTTAGAAGTGGGATTTATATTGAACTAAGCTTAAAGGATCATTTTTCAATGATCATTATATTCAAATGTTTTCTTTTGTAGCTAATTTTATATCTCTTATCCTCTCTCTATCACACATTCTTTCTCAAGGTGTTTCATGGATCCGATTCCGACCTAATGTGGTTACAACGAGATTTCGGTGTGTATATGATCAACTTATTCGATACAGGTATCGCTGCTCGCCTGCTACAACATGGTCGTTTCTCACTTAGTTATCTGTTGCAACGATATGTTGGTATATGTCCGAATAAGAAATATCAACTAGCTGATTGGCGTATAAGGTACCATTCTTGTCTATTTGTTTACGTGACGTATAACAATTCTATCGTTGCATTGAATTCATGAACCGATTGAAGTTAGACCACTGCTGACAACTTGGACGCGCTAGACAACTGTTTTGTCTTGTTATGGAACTCATCATCATTGCGCACCCACGACTGTAGGCAGAATCGAACTGGGTCGTGGAGATTGTTGAATTTCATTGCTTGAAGTTAGACATTGACACCATCAGATGCCAGCTCGGTGGTCTGGAGATTAAGCGTTCGAGCAAGCGACCAAAGACCCTGGGCTCGATTCCTACATTCAGAGTCGTGGATGCACACCGCTAGCGAGTTCTATACCAAGACGAAATCACTCTTCAGTACTTCCAGATTTTCAATGATGGCCCATCTTGGTTGCTAGTATTTGATTTTAGACGTCGATAAAGTGTTATTCACCTATCATAAAACTAGCACTTATTAGTTAGACGTTAGGGTACAAGTCAAACATTAAAAAAAAAGGTTGATAAAGCTGTAAATTTTTACCGACTGGATTATCAGTTACGTTCGCTTAACTATTCCTTACTGTGAAGAATTAAACTGGCTAACATGTAACTTTAGTGAGAAAAAGCCAAGGGCGATGGAATCAACCCATGAAGTTATCGACTATTGAAATGAACTATGTTGGAAGGTTCGAACTGCCTAGATCTCTAGTGTGCTTGATAACTGCAATTGTTGACTGAAGTAACATGAGTTAGAGTGGATAATAACTGCACAGTTACGTTTATTGTTTATTTTTTCCCTAGCTTTTCAGTTGTAACAGAATTTTTTCCTTATTTCCTTTCAAGACATTCTTTATGTTTAATTTTTACTTAACACTACTTTTGCTACAATTAATATGACTCGTTTGCTGTTCATTTTCTTAATTTCATCTTTCTGTGCTGATGTTATGTAGGCATTTGTACCGATGCATAACTGATTGACATCATACTCCCTATATATAACTGATTGATAGATAGTTTCGTAAAGCTCTAGTAATTACTGGTTAGTTTAATACACTATTAGATTTTCCCCCTCGTACATATATATATATATATATATATATATATATATATATATATATATCAATGGGATTCGGTCAGCGCAACTGCCCTAGACAAATAGTACACTGGTTATTATTTGCTGATTAATCAGTTGTCCATATAAAAAGGTTTGTCGCGGCCTGAGTAGTCCAGTTCTAGCGTCCCAGACTATGAAGATAGGTAGGCGATACGCTTATGCGTCTGGTAAGGATCATTAGTTTTTCGAAAATCGCAAGAAAGTCTCCCTAACATGCGTTGTCGCCTACCTCTAACTACCTAGTATATAATTCACTATTATCAGTCTTAGTTGGAATATACTCAGCCCATACGCATTGCTATGGTGACAAGTAGTGAGTTCAAGTTCTAATGTAAACATCAACACTGCAATGCAAATACATCCAGTCAACAACTCTCCCAGATAGAATAAAACTCACATTCTGTATTCCACTGCTAACCGAAATTCATCTATTCCATTAAATTTCTAAAAAATAGTTATATCAAGGCAATCCACCAACATAAACGGATCAAAATCCAGTTACGAATATTAACAATGCGATCATATACAGCAGTGTAAATTAAATTTAATGCCCAATGCTAATATATTACTTATATATATTTTCTGATTAAAAATTGTTCATTTAAGTTGAGTAGTATTCTAATTTTCGCTTATTTCTCACAATTATCTATGATATTCACACTCTTATGTACATATCTGCTTTGTACTAATTAGACCTCTTCCGAATGAATTGATTGAATATGCACGAACTGATACACATTATTTATTACATATTGCAAGTCGTATGTGTCGTGAATTACAAGATAGAGATTTATTATTAGTTGCTGTTGAACGAGCAAGAAAATTATGCTTTAAAGTAAGTTTTGTGAATGATGATATGACTTGGTTTTTTCTTTTTTATTTGAAAAAAAACGGAAGATTATTTATTGAATTGCATTAGTTGATTAAAGGTGCTCATTAAAGATAAGTAAATGCATAAATATTGAACAATATCCGAAAACTTATTTCATATTTGTTAATCATATATACATCTTTCTGTTCATTTGTACATAAATCCAAGTGATCTGAATATAAAATATGATCCAGAGAGTGAAGCACTGATAATGGATTGCGAAAAAACAGTGAAATAGGTTTCGAAATTCATAGCAAACTGAAAGATGTATGAACTCAGTTAGTCAGCAACAATGTAGAACTTCGTACGTACGTACGCACGTACATCGGTCCAAGTTGTCATACCATGGTAGCACAGAGATGAGATTGCCGATTGAAATCCCATAGTGGGTAGGTGTAGTAGAAGTATGAGTAGTAGTCGGAAATCTAGAGTTTGGAGATGTTATTCGAATGAAATAAATTTGAGAAGAGGAAGATGAAGGTTATGAGCAATTCAAATTAGAATTCGGGGGAACACAAAGAGTGGATGTACCTGCGCAATTGCAAGTAGTTTTGAATCATGTCATTCAATATCTCTAACCATAGATTACTATCATCTCGCGGACAACAATCAGGTAGCCTACATCTACCAACATGACTTAGTCCACTTGTCAGTGACTTCATGGATTTGTGCCATGTTTTGGTTTGGCTGCCTCTAACTTTCTTCCTACACCACAAAAAATCGCTCGTCGAGGCAGTCGGTAGTTGAACATTCGTAGCACATGTCCTAACCACCTCAACTGATGAAATTTCACTACTTCATCTATTGATTTGCCATTCTTATTTTTTTCATGTATAAATTTATTTATTTATTATTTCACTGTCAGTGTTACACCAAACCTGTATTCAATCGACTTGGTTATTTGGATCTTTATAAACAAACTGGCAGTAACAGTTTCAGTCATCGTCAATTATATGCTTTAGAAAATCTTTATGCTTTACGTGACTCGATAGCTAGACGAGAAGATGAAAGTCTCCAGTAAGTATTATTATTATTATGATTATTAATATTATTTCGTTTGGTTATTTTGTGTATTTGAGTACTGTGTTTAATGTTCTTTTCAAAATGAAACAAAAACATTTTTCTGGCTTTTTATTCATAAAAATATAACATCTTATTCTGATGAGTTGCTGTAGGGATTAGTTTACTTTTTAGACTGTAGAAGCTTTTGAACTGTCCAATCTTCAATATTACTTTAAGTAAGATCAATCTGTGACCTTGAATATCACCTACACGATCATATCCTCGATTTGTTTCGTAAACAAACTTTGTTTCCTTCTTTTCACTTAGTTGATATGGAAGGATTGGAATTTCAGAATGTATTTTAGTAGTATTTTAGTCATTCAAAAAATACCTGGTAAATTTATTAATTATACTTACATGTTTACTGTTGGAGACCGAAGGTTCTGGTTTGATTCCCGCGCGTGGGGTTGTAGCTGCGCATTGTTGAGCGGTCCCATACTAGGGAAAAACAACTGTTCAGTGCCTCCAGATTTTTAGTGCTTGTTTCAGATTGATCTGTTCACAATTTGCAATAGATCATATCAATTTCAATTTTAAAGACTTGAGCTTTTCCACAACGAAATGCATTTGAATACAAATGCTTTTGACTGATAAATCTCATCTACAATGATGGGTGTGTCTTATATTTCGAGCTACTATCAAAACTTGGTTTAAATCATTCCAAGTTTGATTAATACCGATTATTCTTATTGTTAAACTTTGAAATTGAAAGTTCAATAGGGCCTACGATCATACTTGAGAATTTTTTAATACTTACGCGAACAAATATTATCTGAAATAAAACAGATATCTGGCATACACATAACAATGCTCCAACGTGACACCTTCGGGATAACTTCATATTCCTCATAGAATAGCTTTGTTTATTATAGGAACATGCAATGACCTTGGAGCACACAAAGCAAACCATAAGTGATAACAACCAATCAGACAACACCAAAAATTCATTATGGAAATAAGAATTATAAGAATGTCACTGAGGTTGTTTTAATGAAAGAATTAGCATATAATAACTGAAAACGATATAACCCGAGCACTCTTTAGCATCTGTTTTGAAGCACGATTGAAGGAATGTTGAGATGCTGATTGATCAACAGAATTCAGTCAACACTTGAGTCACTAATTAATTAATATTAAATGTCCAATAGTCTCGGATTTTCAATGGTTGTCTAACTTTGGTAATATTGAATTACTATGGTCAAAGGGAAACATTTCTGGGTCGAAGGCCATCTGACTAAATGTTGGTTTCTGTAGTACATAATACCAGCTAAGCTCTTATGACCACTGGAATTCTTTGACGCCCGGCATTTCTGTTACAAATACTACTAAAAACAAAACACATCATCCCTCCGTCTTTCATAAATCTCAGCCATATTAATAGTTGGTTGTAAAACATTTAACTGTAAGCACATTCAATCATCATGGATTTGAATCAATTCACTGAAAATGATAACTTATTATCATTTTACTTCTTATCCAGTACCAAACACTACCACGAACTAGTCATGTTTTCACTTCATAGTTCATTTAAATCTGCAAGAATTCCAAACATCAAACACTCCTACTGTAGTGAAGGAGAACACAGGTGGGGCAACCGAATTGTATTTAACGTAAATTACAGAGTTACTCAGTAAAATTGGAAAACCATATGGTAAATTGTTCATTTGCAAAATATCAGTTCATCATATTATCGAACTGGACTGTTCCTGTTGCAAACATCAATCCATTGTCTGCCATTTCACTATTCATGCGTTTCATACAAATCCCATTGTGTTCCCACTCTTCTTTCTTTCTTAATCTTCCCCCATCTTTCGCTGCTTCACATTACGTTTTCACTCGCGTCATACACTACTTTTTAAGTAGCGCGCACCACAGTATTACTGCAACTGATTTCAGTTTGTAATACAAGTCATCTTAAAGTAAAAAAAGGATTTCCGCAAGTTAGTCAGTCAACTTGGAACTTCGAAAGATATATGAATCGGTTTAAGTTTTCACAGAGTTTAACCATATCACATACTACCTTTAATTATTAATCAGAAGTATAGTGCATACTTGATTTGTATTGATAGTATGTGTTTATCTGATTGCCTCCTAGTTTTCTTTCAACCAACCCCTTACCCTAGTGAACATTATCGTACAGTATATATATATATATATACTGATTTCTCTTTTACAGTTATGTTTTACCAAATCATATGTTAAAAGTAATCGCTGAGGTATTACCTCGTGAAAGTTCTGGTATATTTGCTTGTTGTAATCCTATTCCTCCTTTGGTACGTAAATATGTTCATGATTTGCATAAAATTATAATGGATGCAAGAAATTTACCAATTACAGATTTGGTAAGTTGAGAGTAAATTTACAAGTTTTCTTAAAAACAACTTATTGCTAATATAATAGGAGGGTGTGTGTGAATACTGTAGAATTTATACGGTTTAAACGTGGTCGTAGCTGCTACCTTGACGTGGTGGTTGAGCTTGCCTATCGTAATGATCCAACGTAGCTATATTGGCTAGAACATATGTTCCTGTAGGTTCTATCATGCCAGGTAGGTCGATTGGAGAACTGCAAGACGTACTGATGACTGTAGAGGGGTATGACAGCAGTAAGGTGTGGTGTTTCCCTCAGACAACTAGCATCTGAAGCGATGCTGCCCTCTCACAAGGGAGGGAGGGGTTAGAAAAGGTCGACTGTAGAAATGTCACACCTCATCGTACCTCAGTGATCTCTGTCTCCGGCGATAAGGCCACTTGAAGAGCTGAGCTAACACTAACACTTTAAAATCTAATAAAAAGGCCGTACGTGACTGGCCCCAATCAGTTGCCCTTTGAGTTCTGAGGTCGCTAACCCTATACGATTAGATAAGGTAAAAAGAGCGAAATAATATTAATTTGATTAAGAGAGAGAGAGAGATCTAAGAACCAATGAATTTGAAATATTTAGAAAATGAATTATTTTAGGAGGCATTTTCTTGGCTTCTAGATTATTTATTTTTCAAATTTTAGGAGGCATTGTAACAGTAATTATTTAAAGTCGGTTAACAGGAGAATTCTGTTTGTCCTGTTTTGGCAAATCAATCATTGAGGTAGTGAATAGACAGACAGATACAACGCAGAACTTCGTACAAAAGTGCATCAGTTCAAGTTGCCATACCACGTCAGCACTGAGACGTAACTGTGAGTTAGTGAATATTTGTTGACTGAGATGATTAGGCCATGAATTACCTATACCTCTATCCACTAACTATCTTGATGAGCAAATCTAGTCGGAAGCACGGCATACAGGGAACAACTTAAATACAATTAGACGATTTGAACTTTTCAGATCATCTGGTTCTTCTATCCCACACACAACAACAAATGCAAGAAAAGACGACCACTGTAGCAGCAGCATCAGCAGCCTCTCTAGCAGTAGGTTTGAAAATACACAAGGGAAAAAGCAAGATCTTTCGGTATAACACAACATGCACCAATCAAATCACACTTAACAAATAAACGTCAAAAGATGTAAAAAGCTTTACACACGTATCTAGTCAGTATCATTGATAAACAATGTGGACATGATGCATTTATAAAAGCAAGGGTAGCATTCCTGCATTGGAAGAACATCTCAAACTTAAAACAACTGTCCGTCACTTAACACCAAAGTCACAATTTTCAATACAAATGTCAAGACAGTTCTATTGTATGGAGTTGAAGGTTGAATAACTACAATGGCAACTTGAACTGATGTAACGCACGTACGAAGTTCTATGTTGTTGTTGACTGACTGAGTGAGTGATTTATAACACATGTCCGTTACGTTCACGGATAGACATCGACTTCCTGATTGTTTCTTAGTCTCTAGGACTATGGAATAAATCCTACTTTTTTTTCTAATGTACAAAAAACATATATATCTATGATAGTATATGTTTTACAGGGGTTGTGAAGATTGTTAAGTTACACATTTTTTGAAACCATGAATCGATCAATGTTAGACCACTATTAGAAACCTGGAAGCACTGAAAGACGGCCGTTTGGTCCTGGTATGGGACTCATCAGCAGTGAATTTATCAAGTTAGACATTAACACCGCTAGATATCGGCTCAGTGGTCCAGGGGTGAGGCGTTCACGCACAATACTGAAGGTCCTGGGTTCGAATCCCTGCGGGGTGCAGAGTCGTGGATGCGCACTGCCACTGATGAGTCCCATACCAGGACGAAACGGCCGTCCAGTGCTTCCAGGTTTCTAATGGTGGTCTAACATTGATCGATTCATGATAGTATATGTGTTAGCTTTGCAATTCTGGAAGCTTTCTCATAACATAACATTGCTCAACTCTGTTGCTTGTCCAATCTCTCCAACCCTCATCATCCTCTTAATCTGTATCTTTATAAAAAGAAAAATTTAAGTTTACCAATTATTAAAAGTACACATAGTTTTATTTATCTTGAATTATGTTATTTATTTAATAAAAAATATTAACGGTGTTTTTTTTTCTCTTCAATTGTACTATAATAAATCAGACTTTTAATATGCATGACGTCATAAAGTACACATCAACACTCAATGAAAAAAAATAAAAATGATGATGCATGTGTAGGTCAGACATAAAAATAAGTAAATAAATATCCAGTGTCACATGAGTACCGCTCATGAAAAAAAAACACGCATATTTTTTTGTTTCATAAATAAAGTCAGTGTTATTTTTAATCCTCTCTTTATCATATATATATATATATATAGTCAAGGTAATATAAAACAGAACGATTGTAATTGATTAAGATTTTAACCTAATTCATTGATTGAGTTGCTTATTTCATACGCGGAAAGAAATTGAATGATTTTTTTTCTCTAAACACAAGAAAAAATCAACAATACCGCAAGCTTTTTATAATTCAATTAGCATAATGAAGATCAGTGTTTGTGTTTTTTATACACGTTGAAATAAAAAAAAATATCTTCTAATCCTAACCTCTTCGATTACTTCTAATACCTTTACTACCTCTTCTACTATTGGATTTGAATTGACAATTACATCTGTGTGCTGATGTGGTATGGCAACATGAACTGATGTACACTTACGTACGAAGTTCTATGTTGCATCCGACCGGCCGACGGACACGTTGAAATCATCAATCAATCGATCATTGTTAGACCACTATTAGAAACCTGAAAGCATTAGATGCGCACTACGCATTGATGAGAGTCCCCATACTAGGTAGGACCAAAACGGCTGTCCAATGCTTCTAGGTTTCTTCTAATAGTGGTTGAACAATGATTGATTGATGATTTCAACGTGTAAATACCGCGATCTTAAAACACCGTTGAAAATGTGGCAAGTACGTAACAACTATTTCGTTCTAGTGTAGGAGGACTCCTTGACAGTTATCATCCATGACCCCTGTGTTCACGAGAACTGAAGTCAAGACCTTAAGTCTTACGTGTGTAGGCGTCGATATTCATGGTCGACAATAAAAATGTTCTCTTTTTACTGAGAGATCAGGAATCGATAATCATATTGGTGAATTCAGTTTTTGGTCTCGTATGCTGTTACGGGTATGACGGTGGTTGTCACTTCCCGGCTGCCCACACCGTGGAAGGTTGTTTCTTGAGCGACCTGAAAAGGAAGATAGATTAGTGTTGGTCTTAGAGACCTGGATGCGTGACCGCAGAGTCCAAGGTACAACTGCTTGAGACCGGTCACGCACGGCATTTTGATGAAAGGTTTTTTGAGTATTAGCTCCGCTCTTAAAGACTCTCAGTGGGCACACTTACCGACGGAGACGGAAATCCATGAGGTAGAGTGAGGTGTAACATTTTTAGGGTAGACCTTTTCTAACCCTTCCTTCCTTCATTGTGAGAACGCAGCATCGCTGCAGATGCTGGTTATCCGAGGGAAACACCTTACTGCTGTCACACCCCTCTACGGTCAGCAGTACGACTTCGCCCTCAGACCTTGAGTAGCCGCTTTTAGTCTCATCGTTCTCCAATCGACCTGACTGGCTTGTTAGAATCTTCAGGAATATATGTTCCAGGCAATATAGCTCGGTTGGGTCATCACGATAGACAAGCTCGACCACCACATCAAGGTAGCAGCTTCGGTCGGGAGTTTTTGGAATGATATCACTTGGGGTTTTTTATACACTAATCGATGGATTTCTCTTTTAATTTTTCCCTAAGATTCATTTACATGTAACATTTTTTGTGACAAAGTACATGTTATGCTCATCACTTGATATGCTTGAAACTATTACCGGTTCACCGTAGTCGATAAACGAGAACGAGATAATGAACCAGTGACATGGTAGGCTACTCTGATCCGTTGCCCTAAAGGAACTGATGAAAAAGTCTTGATATAGCGTAGAAAGTGTATTCTACAAACATCCAGCAAACACAATGATCTCAAGCGCACAAATCGCGTTTATTTATACATCATAGAAACTTCCTTGAGAGAGTCACAAAAATAGCTTACTAAAATAACACATCAACCTATCATGTGATCTCAAGGTCAACTGATCAGCGCATGAATAAAATCCAAAATTAACACATTTAATCAAGCGAGTTTTGGGGATCGAACGTCCCCAACAGTACATATTAGATCATATATTTCCAAATTCTATTACAATATTATTGCTGATAGATTCTTTGGAGATGAGTTTGTTTTAAGGCTTGTGGAAAAAAGAATTACTATCCCATGGAATTGGATCTATATGAATTAAGATGTCATTCAGAAATTTTGTTATTTATCTGCTTGACATTTTGTAAAACAAAACCTTAGAATATATGGTCTGTTAAAAAGCAAAATGATATCCAATGATAAATACCTCTTAAGTATTGTTGACGCTTAATGTATCCCGCATTATGGCACCATCCGTTAATCCTCTGGTATGATTGAGAGTGTGAAGAGTTCTCTCGCTCTCTCTCTCTCCAAATGTTGTCATATGGCGACCACCAGAGAGGTCATAATCAATGACTTCTTGCTATGAGGATGTTGTTTACAAGATAGAGACAATGAAAAGTGAATGTTTGGAGGAGCTTAAACTGAGTCTGTGAATATGGAGAATCCACCTTGGGGGAGTTGGGAAATCTTGATTGCAGATCAACTGTTCACATGGTCTCCAGCATCCTGAGCAACCGAATCGGGTATGAACGTATTGTTGGTGGTGACTGGGCTATCTTGGGACTGCATCTCCTGACGTTGCCTCATTGCTTTGTAGATTAAACCTGTAAGTCAAAAAGGTCGAGCAGTAGCTTCCGGTTCGGGTGCTCTGGCAGTATCCTATCTCACTAACGAATTCAATCATTTAGGATCTTTATATGTTTAAATAAAATAAACATGTAGTTATTGTCAAATTATAATTAGAGGGGGAATAAGTTATTTAATACGATTGTGAAATTGTCTTTGGTAAACAAGCTTATCTCACGTATGTTGGTAAGTAAGGCAGTATGTCATTAACGAAATCATTAAACAAAGATATTTGTCGTTTCATGCAATTTTTTAAGTAGTATATACACATAAAATTTATTTAATTTACATTTTTTTATAAACCAGCCTCTTACTTCGGAAAAATCAAAATTATCTTCAACACAATCAAATTTATTACAAGAAAGCGATGAGAAGTCATCTGTAAATAAGGTGGTAACAATGGAAAACGGAAATTATGCTCTACCTCATGATTCCTCACATGGAATTCATTTACACGTAAACAGTTCAAATGATGATAATCATGTCAATTGTACAGAATTATCAACTAACAGTAAGTTTACTGTGTATGTTTCTATATGATGATGTAATGGGTTCTTTGTGTTCAACTGTTTAACAAAAATATCCTGAATCTGAAAACTATATGTGTGTGTATTTACAAATGACTTTTCGGAAACCATCGTTAATGTTGTTACTGATTACCTCAAATTGTGCTTTGATGCTTGTCATCCAACTGAAACTAATTTCATCAGGTTTGATTAACTTACATCCCCACAAATAAAACGACTACAAGGTGAGAAATGAAGAATGTATCAGGGGAAAAAATTCTATTGAAGTTCAGAAACTAAATTGATTCGTTGTCGGCATCGCCTGGTCTGTGGCAGTCGGTGTTTGATATATGCCTACACTTCGTATACTACTGTTCCTGACAACATTTACTAGATCATGTGCCCTACGGTGTCTAAATCATACGACAAGTACGACGCATTGATAACGTTGATTATCGCACCACACACAGATCATCAAGAACACAGGCACACAAAGTGGAACTGATATGCGAGTACCGAAGAGCAAACCAGAGAGCATGTGAGTGGATAGGATTGAAGTGTACATGTATACACATGGGAAATGGAATGAATATGCACGTAGGCGGTAAGCGATGCTCAATCATACCTGTTCATACAAACGTGACAATAATAAGACCACAATAGTACAGATAAGTTATTGCTATACGAATAACTCTGTCTGTTAAATAAGTTAATCAAAAGGGCTTCTACCATGTCTACTACTATGGGATTTGTATTGACTATTCGTACGAAGCTCTGTGTTGTATCTATCTGTCTGTCTGTTGTAACTGACTGAATAACTTGGAAGTTTACATGGTTTCCAGTTTCAAGTAGCACATCAATCACCAAGTTGCATTGTTTTTTTCTTTTATGTATACCAACATGTAGAGAACATGCGTTTTCAATATTTATTCTTTTCTTCCCCCCTCCTCAGAGAAATTATCAATGTTGGCATTAGCTTTTCTACCGAAAAATTGTTTAACAGAAATTACAATTAATTATGAACAACAGGTAAATCCGATTGGTTTAGTTTTTTTTATAAACTTACTAGTGTGTATAAACATAATTAACTGCTCCGGTTGTCAGAAGGGGCATCGGTCTCGTTACTTACGAAAGAATTCAGATTTCATCATGAGATGTCATAAGTCTTCTGAATGAAGACCTTCAGACTTCCATGGCAGAGTGAAAATGGTTTGAATTATTTTTTCTTGTTAGCGTTTTTTTGGCGAGTTAGTTTTCTACGGGATGGGGTCGCCAACTCCAATCCCAAGCCTCCTTTTTTATCCGGGCCTGGAACCGGTAGTAACCCCAGAGGGGCCTCTGGACAGAGTTTACAATTTACTGGTCTGATAGTTAAACAGTTTTTAAAGCATTCGAAAAATGTTTCATCCTAGACACTTCAACAGTACACAACCTTACTGTTAATCGATCTTCACATTTGAGCAAAACAGTTGTTCAATCAGTGCTTCTTGATTTTAAAATAATTGTCTAACTAACTTGAAATTTAGCCATCTTTATGGTGGTATCTCTCACTTTTAAATTGAAAGTTTCACTTTATTTGTATGAAATCAGATAATATTTTATAAGTATGGCCCGACCGTAGCTGCTTCCTTGACGTGGTGGTCGGGCTCGACTTTCGTGATGACCCAGCCGAGCTACACTGGCTGGAATATATGTTCCTGAAGGTTCTACCATGCCAGCCAGACAGTTCGATTGGAGAACGATGAGACTAAAAGCAGCTACTCAAGGTCTGAGGGCGAAGTCGTACTGTTGACTGTGGTGGAGGGGTGTGACAGCAATAAGGTGTTTCCCTCGGATAACCAGCATCTGCAGCGATGCTGCCTTCTCTCTCACAATGAAGGAAGGAAGGGTTAGAAAAGGTCGACCCTAAAAATGTCACACCTCCCCTAACTCACGGATTTCCGTCTCCTTGGGTAAGGGTGCCCACTAAGGGCTTTCAAGAGCGGAGCTAATACTAAAAAACCTTTCATGAAAAGGCCGTGCGTGACCGGCTTCAAGCAGTTGTCCTCTGGGTTCTGCGGTCACGCTCCCAGGTCTCCAAGACCAACACTAATCTACCTTCCTTTTCAGGTCCCTCAAGAAACAACCTTCCACGCTGTGAGCAGCCGGGAAGTGACAACCGCCCCCTTACCCGTAAAAGCACACGAGACCAAATTGGTCAAAATCAAATCCTTATGACTATGGAATTATACTATTTCAGTATTTGCCTTCTTGCTACACACAATATGATGCTGCTTGTAATTATGATTACTGTCGTGCAGTTTCTAAAAATTCTGTCCCCTAGGTTTTTTTTGTTACTTGTAATAGTAGTTTTTCAAAATAGCATTAACATATTTTGAAACCTTTAAGTTTAAATCTTGCAGAAAGTTTCGCTAACAATAGTACTATTTAGAACTCGTTAGATGGTCTTACTTTTAATCCAATGTTGATATTCTCAGTCAGGCTTAAATAGTGTACATTTCAAATTAAACTTATTAGTTAAAATCCACTGGTTATATGAATCTAGTAACTCAGAAGATTACATGTTGACGTTTGACATGCAAACTGATGAACTCTTGAGTCTTGTCGAGAGCTTGGTCACTACTACGGTGTCGGTATATATATTCATCTAATGAGTCCTATATGAAACGAAACACACTTGTGTGTAGTTTCACTAAAAGTCAATATCCAGATGTAGTAAAAACTCAGTTTCTTAACAGGAAATTGCTAACTATTACTATTCACTGCAATGTATATATGTTTTTGTGGTTATTTTATTATTCTCCTATTGGTATACAATGAATTCATGGTGACTGGATATTTTATACTTAATTGGTTTCTGATTAAAGCTTGTGGTTACTTCATTTATTTGTTGTCTTAAAAACTCGATACATTGATTGTGAATGCATTGTTTTAACCATACACAAAAATATCTATCTAGATTTTTTTCTGTGAATCATTTTAAATTATTAACGCCAATACACGCATACGTTACTTGAAACAAAGTATCGCCTCGATGAGCGATGGTTTGTGGTGTAGGAGTAGTCTGGAAGAAAGCCTAGGGGCGGCCAAATCAAAACATTGCACAAATCCATGAAGCTACTGACGACTACTGGACCGAGTCATGTTAGTAGTTTTAGACTACTACCTGGTTGGGGCCCTTGAATGATATGGCTTAAAATCGTTTACAATACTGTAGGTGCATCCATTCATTGAATCATCCCAAATTATAATCTTCTGTATTCCTCATCACCTTTATCTTTCTATTTTTAAATTTATTTCACTGAATTATACTTCTTGAATTATATCTTCGAAACCTAATCTTTTCGATTGACGCTAATCCTTCTAATAGCAACTTGAACTGATGTGTACGTACATACGAAATTCTACGTTGTAGCTCTCTCAGTGAAATCCACAATTGTCATCTTGTTTTTTGTTTGATCAGTCTACTTGTTGTTTGTTTAAGTAGTATAATGTTTTTTTTTACAAAATAAGTTTATTTGCGCTTTAATCCATTTTTTGGACATAACAACCTATCTCAGTCTGTTTGTCTGTGATAATTATTATATGCTTCATTGTTTAAAACCTACAGCATACATTCGATGTTTCAGTTTGTTTTTTCTTATAACACAATATACTACTCTTTAAAGCTTGTATACGATATTATATGTATACAGAGAGAGAGATCATCAGTCTGACCTTGTATATATCCATTAACGGACAACTTAAGTACAACACAGTTAACAATAGCGCGACCATTGACGAATAGACACAGTTTAATAGGTGGTCTACCCGAAAAAAAAAAGAAGTAAGAACTTGCTCTGTGAGATAGATATTAGTCGAATATAAAACAACAAACAATCAATCCCCTTTGACTTATTTGTCTGACAATTGTATACATATGTATATATATATGACTGTATGTGTATGCATGTTGGTGTGTATATGTGCTGGTGTGTGTTTATTGATTTGTTGTCCAATGTGTGTGTGTGTGTGTGTGTGTGTGTTGATTACTCACTGAGGCTGTTATCGTGCAGTGGGGTTGCACGATTGATGATTCACTTTCCCGATTGTTGTTGTTCGTTGTTGTTGTTATTACCCTTTTCTGAAAGAAAAAGAAACTCTTCTCTATTCCATCAATTACTTGTGTTATCTGTTATTTCTTTAATAATTAATTTTCTTCTGTTCTGCTCTTGACTTTTCGCGGTCATGACCTTAGTTATCCGAATCATACATATGTATGTGAAAGCGAGACAGCATTGTCTCCGTTTTTGTTGTTGTTGAACTGTCCAACAGTTAGATTATTACCTTTTATTCCGATACTATTGGTTTTCTTTTAGCCGTACTCAGTATTAGAATTCATGTCAAAGTGAGATAGATGTAGAGTGTTTTCTTGTTCTAGCTTTCGAAATTTCACGACTTTACTTTACTCATTAACTGTTTGTCTGTGAATGTTTTGTTTTGAGTTCTCAATTATAGTAATTTTTATAACTATGACTAATTGATACTCACTCGGTTATACAAATAAGATCTATGTAAAATAAGTTAGATCGGAAAACTTAAAAATTTAATCACTTGTAGCATAATCGTATACAATCAGTCAATCAGCTACAAGGTAAAACTTCGTACATTAGTTCCAGTTGCCATGCCATGCCATATTAGCACAGAGATGCAATTATCATTTTGAATCCCATAGTAACAGAGTTAGTAGGAGTATTAGCGGTTACAGAGAAGATTAGGATTCAAGATATTATTCAAGTAATATAATTCAGTGAGATAAATTTAGAAAGAGAACGATAGAGGTGATGAGGAATTTAGAAGATTATAGTTTGAGCGAACATAAAGAATGAATGCTTCAGGACTGATGAAACTACCAAGATAAGTAAAGCAGTTAACATTCATAATTACTTCACCACTTATCACTAGTTTCGGTGCCGATGCAATCCAATCTTGAAGCAACATTTTGCATTTGGAGTTGGGGAATAGCATCCCCAACATGCTTGCAATGTTGCTTAAGGTGGTCAGAAGACTCGGCATCTTCACCAAATAGAACTATGTCATCGGTATATTGTAAGTCGACAAGGGAATCATCCTAATATGCCTACATTGTTTTGCTTAAGTTGGTAATCGCATACATCATTGAGAAAAAAAGCTTCATATACATGACATTGAGATACAGCAAAATTAGCAAACTGAAAAGAAAACAATAATCACTGCGAAAATATGGAAGTAACTTTTCACAATAGAACTACTACTATTTATGTAACAAGACAAAACAATTACACATTATCTGAGTTTAAAAGTTTTAATTTCTAATCATTATTATTGTTGTATAATTCATTTGTCATTGTACAAATTTATGTACTTCATTTTGAATCACTGTTTAAATGTGTATATTGATTATCATAGTATCTTGACTTTGTAATCCGATATAATTGATGCATGGATTCAAACTTGCCATCTGTCAGTAGTTGAAAATTGTAGATTTCCAACACTTAGGCATTGTTAGTTACCCTTTCAATGAATCAGTGATTCTTAACAAATCACTATTTAGTTCTTACTTGAATAAAAAACAGCTTCTCCTCGGTCAAAATGTCATTATGATGATGTATAAGTACTCAAATTATATAACAAATGAAGATTGACCGTGTTATCGGTGTTGTGTTAATTCAACTTTTAACTTTTATTCACAATATCTTTGTGTGTGTGTGTATGTTTTAGTCGGTACGGTGGTGTCCCACTTGTTGTTGATTTCTTTTAAACCGGTTAGTTAATCAATATAAAATCAACCTGAATCTAATTTTATTTTTGGTTAGTTAATGGAAGATGTGCGTGCTTATTTTTTTTTATTATTGATATCTGAGTTGTATTGACATGTTG